ACAGAACGTGAAAGGGTAGATATATATATATAATATTTATTATAATTAATATGCATGAATAAATGCGAGCATTAATATATTGATAAGGTGTATTGTTGAATTTCGTGAATTTGATGAGATGCGTTGTATCACTTAAAGGATTCGTTGCTTTGAATCCTATATATATGTGGATATATTAACAATTTGTTACATGATTTATCTGAAAAAAAAAGAGGTAGTCAACTTTTAATTGTGCTGAAGCATTTAAATCGAGTTTCCTAGAAGCCTGTGCATATTTTTTAGAAGAAGCCATGCTGGAAGATAGTATCTCTGCTGATGTCAATAATCTTTGAAACATTAACTTATATAAAGTTCGCAAGAAAAACTTGTTAATTGCTTTGTATTTTTGATATCTCTTACCAACAGCTGAAGGTTTATCAATAATATTTTTTGCCTGTTCATTGTATTCTAGCTCTTGGTGTTTTGTTCCTTCACCCTTTTCTTTACTTATGTTTGAGGTACCTGAATTAGAAGATTGCATTGTACTACATTGTTCTTGTTCTTCGATAGATGATCTGGTAGTTGATGTTTTGTCAGTAATTTTTGGTGTTAAAGCCTGATGTTGAATCGCATCTGCTGTTGATGAATCCTTTCCATCTTCCTCTTCTACTGCCTGTAATTTTTGTATAAACTATTAATAGCATGTTAATGTCAAGCAACTATTGCTATCATTTGAATTTTTAAATATGTGTTACTTAAAATAAAAAATAAAATATGCTGACCTCTTCCAATCGTTGTAGCTTGTAATCATTTTCTAGTTCATCATTGACTGAAAATTTTTTTAATACAGTATAAGTCTCATATCCTTGTTTCAAATCAGTTTCTGACAACTTAATTTTGAAAACAAAAGCCTTTCCACAAAAAGCATTTACAACATCTGGAATTCTTTCATGCTTGTTTTCTTGGGTTTTCAATAACTGGGAACATGACAATCCAACCAATTTCTGGCATACTGAATCAAACATTATAAAAGCCGCTTCAACAATGCCATCTGTGACTGCAATATCAACTTTATACCTATTATAACAAACAATATTCATTAATAAATATCAAATGTTAATGTTATAATGCATTGTCTTACAACAATTATTTAATTTTCAATAAAAAACCGATTCACCTCATTTGTGGAAATTTTATCTCCTTGTTGCATTTAACACAGTAGAAATTGCTATTGTTCATATTATGAATTTTCTTCTTACAAACACTACAAGATAAGTAACACCAACCAAATCTGCATTGACTTCAATTATTTTTGCCTTTATTGTATATTCTGTAATCCAATCCCAGTTATACCACATAAGGCTGGTAAGATATTTAAAAGATACTTTATTTTGAAACATCTCCTCCTCAACCGATATCTCATTTAGCTTTCTCTTTTGCAATTTAACAACTGGAATATTTTCATTATTGCAAATTGTACAGTAAATGAGACATAAATTGTATAATTATTTCTTAAAATATTTGCAGAAAAGGCTGCTAAAACACAAACTTTCTCTGTAAAAGATGGACCTCGTCAATTTCTAGATTGATATAGATTCTTGATCCCGAAGTACTATTAAGATATATCTTACCTGTACATTTAAAATCACGAATTATTAAACCATAAATTTCTATCCAATATCAAAAGCCTAAAATACCTTGAAACTCTTTAACGTTTGTTGATGTGATCATTATTACAACTGATTTGTCATCTCCCATTAGCAAGCTCTCATCAATTTTTTTTGAAATTTCTTCCCATAATAAAACTCCAAATGTCTCCCTGAAAATAACATCGATGTAAGATAATATAATCGTACCACATTATTATGATATTCAGAAAAGAACTTATTGTTCAATCTGTAAAATGATATCTCGTTTATAACTGTTTGTTGAAACGATTTTTTCGATCTCACCTACTCCATTCAAAATACCTATAACATCTGTAAACCATTTACTATATTTAGAATTATAGTAGATAATATAGATGCACAACATAAATAGTAATAAAAGGTTTACCTAATAACAAATATGTGTCATTTTTTCTATTTTGCAGATCATTGATACCGGCAAATTGAAATTTAAACTCTGGAATAGCAACTGTTACTTCCTTGATCTCCTCGATGGAAGTATTCATGAGAAATTGTAAACAATAAGCACCTTTAACAGACTTGTAAGTAGCAGCACATGGTATAAACTTCACATTTTTAGTCAGAAATATATGACCTTTATGAATTTGGTTCTTAAATTTTACAACTCTATTTTTTGGTATAGTCCCATGCATCACATCATGCTGTAAAATAATTACAAATAAAAAAGGTTAATGAACTTACACAATTTCAAGGTTGGTAAAATTATATAATTTAACAAAAATACATAATACCTCTTCATCAATAAGAATCATATAAAGACTAATCAGCTTGGTGTCCCTTCTGAAATTAAAACATTCCCACAATCTAGAAACCCTGACAATCAATATCCAATCATCTCGCAATTGATTAATATCTTNTATTGTTCATATTAGGAATTTTCTTCTTACAAACACTGCAAGATAAGTAACACCAACCAAATCTGCCATTGACTCCAATTATTTTTGCCTTTATTGTATATTCTGTAATCCAATCCCAGTTATACCACATAAGGCTGGTAAGATATTTCAAAGATACTCTATTTTGAAACATCTCCTCCTCAACCGATATCTCATTTAGCTTTCTCTTTTGCAATTTAACAACTGGAATATTTTTCATTACTGCAAATCGTACAGCAAATGAGACATAAATTGTATAATTATTTCTTAAAATATTTGCAGAAAAGGCTGCTAAAACACGTACTTTCTCTGCAAAAGATGGACCTCGTCAATTTCTAGATTGATATAGATTCTTGATCCCGAAGTACTATTAAGATATATCTTACCTGTACAATTAAAATCACAAATTATTAAACCATAAATTTCTATCCAATATCAAAAGCCTAAAATACCTTGAAACTCTTTAACATTTGTTGATGTGATCATTATGACAACTAATTTGTCATCTCCCATTAGCAAGCTCTCATCAATTTTTTTTTGAAATTTCTTCCCATAATGAAACTCTAAATGTCTCCCTGAAAATAACATCAATGTAAGATAATCAAATCGTACCACATTATTATGATATTCAGAAAAGAATTTACTGTTCAATCTGCAAAATGATATCTCGTTTATAACTGTTTGTTGATACGATTTTTTCGATCTCACCTACTCCATTCAAAATACCTATAATATCTGTAAACCATTTACTGTATTTAGAATTATAGTAGATAATATAGGTGTACAACATGAATAGTAATAAAAGGTTTACCTAATAATAAAGATGTGTCATTTTTTCTATTTTGCAAATCATTGATACCAGCAAATTGAAATTTAAACTCTGGAATAGCAACTGTTACTTCTTTGATCTCCTCGACGGAAGTATTCATGAGAAATTGTAAACAATAAGCACCTTCAACATGCTTGTAAGTAGTAGCACATGGTATAAACTTCACATTTTTAATCAGATATATATGGCCTTCACAAATTTGGCTCTTAAATTTTACAACTATATTTTTTGGTATAGTCCCATGCATCACATCATGCTGTAAAATAATTACAAATAAAAAAGGTTAACGAACTTACACAATTTCAATGTTGGTAAAATTATATAATTTAATAAAAATATATAATACCTCTTCATCAATAAGAATCATATCAAGACTAATCAGCTCGTTGTCCCTTCTGAAATTAAAATATTCCCACAATCTAGAAACCCTGACAATCAATATCCAATCATCTCGCAATTGATTAATATCTTTAAACAAAATATTCGAAATTGTCATAACTATCCTGCAAAGATATTAATCCTAAGACGTGTGATATTTCAAATTGTATTTTGTTATGTTTATATAAGAACAACAAAATGTGAAAAGACATAATAGCAAGAGATTGTTTCTCGTAAGTAGTTACATTTATTGAACATATTTAGTGCATAATTTCCACTAAATTGATGTGATAACTAAAGGGTTGATGAATATTATCATGTTTATATTAAATGCATGTACATATGTAGAATATCAATAGTTAAGAGATTGTGATAAATAGTTAGATTTAGTGAATATATTTTAAATATTAGGAACAACAAAATGCCAAAAGGCAGAATAGTAAGACACTGTTTCTTGTGAATAGTTACATTTATTGAACATATTTAGTGCATAGTTTCCACTAAATTGTTGTGATAATTGAAGGGTTCATGAATATTATCATGTTTAGATTAAATGTACATATGTAGAATATCAGTAGTTAAGAGATTGTGATAAATAGTTACATTTAGTGAATATCTTTAAAATATTATTTTGAAAAATTATTACTGGTAATTGAAACCATGACTATTATAGCAAGCCCAATAAACAGCAAACACGTGGACCAATTAACAACATCCTACATGGCGATCATATATCAATCCTACGTGAGGTCAGAAGAAGCAGTCTGCTTCAGTATTATATTAATATATAGATATTATTAAATATTATCACTTTTAAATTTTAATTTATAAATAATTGTTTTTGGTATTGGATATATAAATAAATTTAAGAAAAATCAGAATAATGTATCTGTGCCTAAATTAATATTATCTTTGTAGAATTGTTTTTAAAATAAAATACTGAAATATGTATATAAAGGGATGAATAATACTACACATACATCATTCTCATACAATATTATGTGACAAGATATGATTAGGTGAAAGTTTAATTTTAACTTTAAATTAGTCAATCATATCTTATTACATAATATTATATGAAAATGATATATATGTAGTATTACTCATATGAAAATAATAATATTATATAAAAATAATATATATATAGTATTACTCATATGGAAATAATATATGTGTACTACCCATCATTGTAATTTAAAAAAATGTATTATGATTTTATTCGTGATAAAATAGTTATATATTAAAAAAAATTCTCAAAAATCTAGTAAATTCCGACTGCCAAGTTCCCAACCAGTGTCCCTGCAAAAGACGAAAAATTTCGCCATTAAAACCCTCTTTCAAAACCTTTACAATTCCCATTTTTTGAGCATTTGAAAGACCAGAAAATGTTGGGTTCAGCACTCCCAGCAACTCATTTCAACTTCAGCATGAAGTTGAAGCCTCAGTATTGGAATGTGGATGTGGGTAGAGTTAACGCCACCTCCTCCATTAAAACAATGCCTAGAATCAGAAGAAACTCCAAAACCTTTTCATCTTTTCACTTTGGCCCCCATGTTTTATTTATCTTTAAGCCCAAACCTTCGTCTCTCCCTACACTTTTATCAAGCTTCAGTTGTTGTTGTAGTAGTGGTGGTGGTGATGGTGCCTCTGATTCAAATTCTCAACTCTCTTCTTCTGTTGTAAGTCTCTCTATATCTTTTTTCTTTTAATTATTCTCATTTTTAATATGGGAATATCGGTTACTTCGAAATTCTTGTAAATGTTGATTGAGATTGTTTATGGTAATAATGGGTTCTTCGTGTTTAGTATATTTATTTATTATTTATTAGTATTATTATTGGTTTTATCTTTGATATTGCAAGTTTTACGTTTTCACGTTATAAGTTTGGCTAGTATTATAAGAAGTTTGATGCAGGTTGTCATAAAATTTGATTATAATTTTAGTGAAGCGTCTGACTGACTCGCCGACGATATTGAATTTGTAGGAATATGGTTTGGAAATTAAGTTTGGTGGTCTTACTTGCTTGTGTTGTTCATATAGAGAAGTGTTTACAAGTCCTGTGCATTCAATTGTTCCTTTTCTTTTGGGAAACAACTTATTTAGTAGATTGTATGTGGAGCTATTATGAAAATTTTGAGTCCTCATCAGGGGTTATGAATTAAAGACGGAATGTAAATAGCGTACTGAACATCAAGTGGCCATGCTTGAAGAAAGGTTTAGAATTCTTTGAAATCAATTTATAGTTGTATGAATTCTCATGTTGGTTATTTTGAGAATCTAGATAGACTTTTTTGATGCTCCATTGTCAGCTGTAGTTCCTGCAACATATATTTTTTTTTTTTTTTTGTGTGTGTGTGTGCCTAGAATCGTGCTGTAATGACTTGCTGACTGCAGATTAGACCGCCTAGCTGAATTGGTAGTGATTTTCAATATTGATACTGTTGCCATGGATTCTTGTTCTCACCGCTGACCACAAGTTCATACTAGATAATTTTTCTCTTTCTATAGGCCAAAGTTTTTGAGCAAGATTCCAAAAGATATTAACATAATGCCATTTGGTCTTAAGGATTTTTATTTTTATTTTTAAAGTACTATTTGGAGCATTTTTCAACCCTAAGTTGTTTGGGCTTTTGCAATATGAAGTATTTTTTGCTTTTATTGACATTGGTTTGCATATAAGGATGACACTTGTTCATTAGTTCAAGCTACATAATGATGCAGCTTGTCACTTTGATTTCAGGATACTAAGGAAATAAAAAATAGCTCTTCTACTTTTGGTGACAGTTATGTTGCCTTGTTTGTCCGGATGCTTGGTCTGGACAATGATCCACTCGACAGAGAACAAGCAATAGTGGCACTATGGAAATACTCGCTAGGTGGAAAGAAGTGCATTGATGCTATCATGCAGTTCAGTGGCTGTATAAATCTCACCATTAACCTTCTTAAGTCAGAATCTAGTGCTACATGTGAAGCAGCTGCAGGCCTTTTACGATCAATATCTTCAGTCAATTCATATAGAGATTCTGTAGCAGAAAGTGGAGCTATAGAAGAGATTACTGGATTGCTGAGTCAATCTTCTTTGACTGCTGAGGTATAGGATAGGTATCCCGCCATTGGAATTTCTCTCTCATATTTCTTTGTTGTGGAAAATTGAGGCATATTGTGAACTTATTTCTGCAGGTGAAGGAGCAGAGTATATGTACTTTGTGGAACTTATCTGTTGATGAGAAGCTTAGATTGAAAATTGCAAATTCTGATATTTTGCCATTACTTATTAAATCCCTGGAAGATGAGGACATTAATGTAAAGGAAGCGGCTGGAGGGGTTTTGGCAAATCTGGCATTAAGCCGCTCTAATCACAACATAATGGTTGAAGCAGGTGTTATTCCCAAACTGGTAAGATGATGTTTTATTCGGTTGACAGTATTGATTGATTTCAGAAGTTAAATCAAACTCTTTATTCATTTGGTGCTTCACACTTTAATGATGTTTATATTCTGTCAACATAAGCAAAGCAAAAGCATTTTATATTTGTGAAAAATAAAATAATGACAACAAACCAAAGGAACAACAGAGGTTGGATTCATGAATCGATAACAGCATCCTTCTTATTTGGTATGATTTTTGTTGATTAATATCTTCATTTTGGATTGGATTCCATCTAGCTGTGAAATATGTAAAGTATACAGTTGTGGCATATTTGGACACCTTGTGGAAATTGAATGTGTGTAGATTTGTTTTCTAGACTTTTAAGGATATGCATCTTTACAATCGGTTTTGTTTTGAAAAGTGAATCTGTTTACTGCAGCAGATTCAGTTGGGATCTGTTTGTAGAGAAAGTTTCAATTGACATCTTGGAATGTTTCTATTTTGAAATTTTAATTGTAACAATATAGGCCAATTATGTTGGATACTTCCTGCAGGCAAAGCTCTTAAAAACTGATGTGGAAGGATCCAAAGTCATACGAAAGGAAGCAAGGAATGCACTGATTGAACTTGCTAAGGATGAATATTATAGAATTCTTATTATAGAGGAAGATCTGGTTCCTGTCCCCATGATTGGTTCAGCTGCATATAAGTCCTTCAGACCTGGTTTGTATTCATGGCCTAGTTTACCAGATGGTACTGAGATTGAGCGGACTTCACAAGGCCCTTCCAGGTATGGTGCCAATGAACTACTCCTTGGATTAAATGTTAGTGAAAAGAATGTGGACATAGAGGAAGCCAAGATGAATGCTGTGGTTGGACGGGCAAAACAACAATTTCTTGCTCGTATTGGGGCTATAGAGTTGGAAGATGAAAGGAAACCTCAATCTGATTTGCCTACTGGCCAGCGGGTAACACTTCTGCCATTGATGGATGGTGTGGCTCGACTAGTTTTAATACTTGGACTTGAAGATGAGGCAGCCATATCAAGAGCTGCAGAGTCAATTGCGGATGCATCTATTAATGAACATATACGGGTGTCATTTAAGGAAGCTGGGGCTATCAAGCTTTTGGTTGGGCTTTTAGACCATAATAATGATGCTGTCAGATTGGCTGCAACATGTGCTTTGGAGAGACTGTCTGTCAGGTATTTGAATTTTCCTTTCTTTAATTCTCTGTCCTAAGTGCCAAACTTGATCTTGCTAGCTAAACATTTTTAATTTCAAATGAGTTCTTATAAGAAAGCAGGACAGTAGTCATTTTTGTTTTTATTTTATTAAAAAGCGTTAGTTGGTTGTTGAATCAGTAATTTACTTGCCAGTCAATGAAGGGGCACCTGTGCTTGTCTCAAAATTCTTGTGTCAGAGTAGTGAATTAGCACTTTTTATTCTATTCTAAGTTGCTGGTGCAAGATTTTTCTCTCAGCCTTAGAGTGTGTGTGAGAGAGAGAGAGAGAGGTGTTTCTAGTTCCTGCACTTGCTGTTGGTCCATCTGTCATGAACAAGCTAAACAAATAAGGTTTCCTAGTGCTAATGCTATTCTTCCTAAAGGAGGTTCCTTGGGTGAATGATGTCAAAAGGCTTGACTCTCAACATTTTTTTGTGAAGTTGCCAATCTTGATATCTGTTGTACAGTCATGTGACAGTGATGGATACCACCTTGGGCATTGACAGTGATACAACATCTAGCTTCTTGTTTTTTCCATTTTTGCATGTTGGAAATGCCTTCTGTATTAAGATTTTTTCCTTAAATCTGTGTCTAACATATATGCTTTACTCCACTTCTGCATCTTGTTATGAGTTTATCTTCATATGTTAATAAGGCCTAAATAATTATTATCTTTTACATGCTTGACGTATCATAGTTCAAAATTAATATTTTCTTCACTTTCTTGATGCAGTCATGGTGTTTGCCAGATTATTGAAGCTGAAGGTGTTATTGATCCTTTGGTTAATACTCTAAAGCACTCAGACATCTCTGAAAGCTTGATGGAAAAGGTCTTATCGTTATTTTGGTTGGCTCAGAAATTTCTGAATAAGAATTCTGATTTTGTGTTGATGATGATGTGAATTTTTGCTGCAATGCAGACCTTGAATATACTTGGTCGTATCATAAACCCGAGTAAAGAATTGAAATCAAAGGTTAGTTGGCACTTTCATGCAGAAAATTATAAATGCTTTTAGTGTTCTGCTGACTTACCTAGTATGTTGATGCATCCCAGTTTTATGATGGACTGGTTAATGGATCGAGAAAGGGATTCGATGCTTCTACAGGATCTGGAACCACAGCTGAGATACCATCATCAGAAACCAATACAAGGTTTTTTTTTCCCATCTCCTGCTTTTGGTTCCTTTCTTTTTCCATTGTTATGTGCTATTACGCTGATTCTTATCATTTGTTACTTTGAATTTTGCTTACCCTGTGTGAGATGAAAACACAATATAAAGCAAGCAAAATCATACATTTTCATAATGGATCTCCTCGTCTAGGTAATGCCAAGTTTGATTGTTTTGTCTAGATGGTCTGGCAAAAGTCATGCTTGCTTGTAATGCAACAGGATGCAATATCTTCTCATAGCTGATGTAGCCATGTAGGACATATTTTCCTAAATTAGGACTAGTTTTTATTTTCCTTTTTATTATTAGATTTTCTAATTTTAATTAGGATTTTGTATTTGTAAGTTTAGTTATTTTTGGATTTTAGTTAAGTCTTGTTTTCTTATTATATAATTCCTTGTACTAGTAGTATTAGGGAATTTTTTTTTTTTTTTTTTTTTTTTTGTTTTTGTTCTATTGTATTAGGATTAGTTTTGTATAAATAGGCTTGTTATCCTACAACAAAATCAATGGTTTATCAATAAAATTGAGTTCCCTTATGGGATTCTTTGTCTTGGATTCAACATCCCTAAGAAAGCTACGTGTTAGCTTTTTTTTTTTTTAATCCTTTTTTGTGTTTCCGTTTTGTCAATCGCCTAATAATCGAGATAGCGACCATCTTTCTAGCAATGAGTAAATGATGAGGACCATAACAACGCAAGATGTTAGGGATATCATTCGGGATCTACTACAATCAATACTTCATAGGTTGGATGCATTAGAGACTAGCGGCAACAAGAATTTAGAACGAAAACATAGAAAAGCAGATGAGGCTCGTGCTCATTGTCCACTGTCAACGAGATGGATTCTTGATTTCAATCGAAGAGCTTTTGCAAATAACCATTATCAACAAGGTTCTAAGCAAAGCTGTAATACTCCATATTTTATGGGATTTTCATTAGAATTTAAAAGACTTTGAAACTTTGGAGGGAGTAGAGTGTAACAACCGAAACAAATGAGGACTAAAGTGAAATTTGTCAGATATTTTTTTTGAATAGTAATAGATTTTAAAAGAGGAAGGATCGGGAAGAAGGAAAAAAAAAAAAAAAAGAGAAAAGAAAAGAGAGAGAAGAGAAGAAAAAGGAGAAAAGAAGGAAGGGAAGTTTGGCCGAGAAGAAGAAAAAGAGAGGGAGAGTTTTCTTTGTGCCTTCTTTTCACCATTTTTGTGTGAAGAATTGAGAGAGTAAAAAGCAAAATTTGAGTGAAGAGGAAAAGAAGAAGAATTGGTGAGTTGAGTGGAATAGTATTGCATTTAAAATTCATAGTTTGTTATTGCATTTGTTTTTAGCTTTAATTGTGTGATATATACATACATACATTTGTGGTATGTGTGTGTGTATTGTTTGGAGATTTTTTATTGTAATTCCACTAAACAAAAAAATGTGGGAGGGCTGGTTTGATTGTGTATTGTGTTAGAGTTGGGAGGTTGGAAAAAAAAGTTGGGGTTATTGAAACCTTATTTGGTGGAATTGTGTTTTGGTTGTTATAAATGAGTTATCGTATGCATGTACATATGTATTGGGGTAAATTTGATGAGGGAAAATGTTATAGAATGAGGAGATAAGTATTGAAATGGTTAAGTTGAGAGAAACCCAGAAATTTGGGTGAAATCGCAATCGTGTTGCGGCGAAGAAAAAGCTTTGTTGCGGCAAAAGAGTTTTGGAATGGTTGGGAATTTTCTGGGGAAAACTTTGCCGCGGTGGCGAAGAAGCGCTAGATTTTGGGCCATAAGAATTGATGAATATAGGACTTGGGTTTGCATCTTGATTGGGTTGTGAGAAGAAGAATGAAGCCCATTTATATTGGGCTGTTGGGTTTATTGTTGAGGTGCGTCGACTGTTATTATTAAGGTCCAGTTAGTTGTTTGGACTGTTGGGTTTTATTTAAGAAATTGATGGGTTTAATTATATTGATGGGCTAATTGAATTGGTGGATTTAATTATTTAAGTGGGCTGAACTATAAATAATGAGACCCAATTATTTGATTTGGATAATTAGATTTATTAAAGAATTGGTAGCTGGCATGTTAAGGAGTTGGAGTATCTTACTTTAGGCCTGTTGGAATTGGGCTATAGATATGGCCCAATTATGTGTTAGAGGTATTGAGTTTTATAGTTAAATTGTTGGACTTGAGTTACTTTGGTGGGTATAAGGCCTAGGCTTTTTTTTTTTTTTTTGTTGTTTTTTGGGTTAGTAATTGATTGTAATTGGTGGAAGGATAACCAAGTGGTAGATTATCATTTCTGCGAATATTGAAGCACAGGCTGGAGGTTAATTGTAAGGATTTAGAATATACAAAGGTTTGACTGTAAGGGTTTAAAAAGGCAAATAGTTGATCGTAAGGATTTAAAAGTGAAGGGGTTTGACTCAAGGATTCAATAGTTTAGGAGGTTGACTTAAGGATCCAAAATGTTTGGGACTTAATTAAATGAATGAAAAATGTAAGGGGTAAATTGATATTTTACATGTACGTATTTTGGGACGTTACACTCTTTTTTACATGTTGGCATTGTTAAGAACTATATAGCACCCATATTCGAATTACTTGTATGAAAACATGTAATGTCATTGGAGCTTGGGAAATTCAGAGGTGTTATTATAGAAACTTTATTTTGGACTGTAACCATCGTTTTAGTACCCATCCCCCTCCAGACATTAGCTAATACTTATATTTGACCTCATGCACGTGATGAGCTAACCTATACTACCGAACGATGACGACTCTTTACCATCCTAAAACGGTGGTTACAATTCGAAATAAAGTTTTTTATATATTTCGCCTCAGCCTATACCCGTTGGGTATTCACAAATTCCACCCCAGCCTATACTCGCTGGGTATCCACAAATTCTACTCATTCAGTTAATGCAGCCACTATAACCATCACTTTAGTACCCAGGGACCTACATCATACATCTCGATTTTCAATTCCTAATATAGACAAACAAATTAGTTGATCAGATTAGGCCAATACCCGCCTAGGGAGCTATCTTGGGCCAATACCCACCCCAATGATCTCGAACCCACTTAGGCAAATACTCGCCTGGTGTAATAAAAGGCCAATACCTGCCCAAATAATCTCAATTCACCTTGGTCAATACCCGCTTGGCGAAATAAAGGACCAATACCCACCCAAATAATCTCAACTCATCTAGGTCAATACCTGCTTGGTGTAATTATCATCAAATCCCATCCAAACCAATACTTGTTAGGTGTAATCTCGCCTGGAGCTTGTCAGGCGCCCCATCCTGTCCCGGTAGGATGGTATAGAGTCATCATCGTTCAATAGTACTGGTCATCTCAATGCACACATGAGGCTAATCAGATCCTACTTAGGCCAATACCTACCTGGTGTCATCCTGTCAAATCCCACCCAAGGTCTATCCTCGGGTTGTCATAATCCACTCAGGCCAATATCCGCCTGGTGTAGTACTTTCAAATCCCAGCAAAGGTCTATCCTCGATTTCAAAATCCACTCGACCAATATTCGCTTGGTGTAGTATCGTCAAATCCCACCCAAGGTCTATCCTTAGGGAATCATAATCCACTCAGGACAAAGCTGCTTAGTGTGGTATCGTCAAATCCCACCCAAGCCAATACCCAATCAGTGTAATCTTGTTTGAAGCTCGTCAGACGCTCGTCCTGTCTTGATAGGATGGTATAGGGTCGTCATTGTTCAGTATTACAGGACATCTCATTGGCGCATGAGGTCAAATATAAGTACTAGTTGATGTCTGGAAGGGGACGAGTACTAAAACGATGGTTAAAATCCGAAATAAGGCTTCCACACTCACACCTTCGAATTTCCCAAGCTTCAATGATATTACATGTTTTCATGCAAGTAATTCGAATATGGGTTTCATATAGTTCTTAATAACGCTAGTATGCAAAAGCGAGTGCAACATCCAGAAATACGTAATTTAAAATATCAATTTACCCCTTACATTTTTCATTCATTTATTTTGTCCCAAACATTTCAGATCCTTACAGTCAACTCTCTAAACCATTGAATCATTGAGTCAAACCCCTACACTTTTAAATCCTTACTATCAACTGCTTGTCTTTTTAAACCCTTACGGTGAAACTCCTGTATATTCTAAATCCTTATAATTAACCCCCTGCTTGTGCTTCACTATTCGCATAAATGACAATCTACCCCATGGGAATCCTTCCACCAATAACAATCAATTCGCTAACCCAAAACAAGGAAACCTAACCCTTATGCCCACCAAAACAAATCAAGCCCAACAATTTAATCATAAAACTCAATACCTCTAACACGTAATTAGGCTATATCTATAGCCCAATTCCAGCAGACCCAAAGTAAAATACTCAAACTCCTTAATATGTTAACCCACTAATTCCTTAATGAATCTAATTATTTAAACCAAGTAATTGGGCCTTATTAATTATAGGTCAACCCACTTAAACAATTAAACCCACCAATTCAATTAGCTCACCAATATAATTAAACTCATCAATTTCTCAAATAAAACCCAATAGCCCAAAAAATCAATTAGACCTTAATAATAACAGTCGGCCCACCTCAACAATAAACCCAATAGCCCAATATAAATGGGCTTCATTTTTCTTCTTGCAACCTAATCAAGATGCAAACCTAAATCCTATATTCATTCATTCTTACGGCCCAAAATCCAGTGCTTCTTCGCCAAGGCAAACCAAAATTTTTGGGTTTCTCTCAACTTAACCATTTCAATACTCATCTCATTCCACAACACTTCCCTTCATCAAATCCTAATACATATGTACATGCATACGATAACTCATTTAAAACAACCAAAACACAATTCCACCAAATAAGGTTTCAATAACCCTAACATCAAAACCCATCTTCAACACTTCTTTTTCCCACCCCCTAACTCCAGCACAATACACAATCAAACTAGCCCTTCCACATTTTTTGCTGGAATTTCAATCAACAATCC